TCCAAATAAGTCATCTACTTCCCTGCCACTTCTTCCTGGGGAGGCCTTTAAATTGAACTGCACATCTAGTGAGTTGGCAGGGTTCTAGCTCAGTGCTGGGCAAAAGGACTTTGCACAGATATCTCCAGTCTACCACAAATCATATGGAATATGTTACGTTTGGGGCAGCCCTGCAGCTTTGTCTGCAGAGAATGTGACAAGCTGATATGCGGGTATTTCCACCAATGCCCTTAAAAGCACTCACTTTCAGCAAAATCCAATGAACCCAGCTGGAAATGTGTGTTGGTAAAGTCTTCCAGATTTGGCCCTACTGTGTTCTGTAATGATGATTTCAGATGACCCGCTGGGTTTTTATGAAATTTCTTTATCACTGGTTTAGTAAATGCACATTAGTGATAATTTCACTTTCAGAAATATGGAATCTGAATGAAAATGTTTGAAATAGAGGCAGATTATTTAAAACAACAGTTTCACAGAACTTGATCCTGTGATGCATTCCATAGGTGCATTCCCTGGTGAAATCATATAAAGTGCATTTTCACTTGCTGAGCTACCCATACATTATACAACTCAGAATCAAATCCTTATAATTTATTCTTAGGTTATCTGAGATAAAAGTGCTCAATATATTTATTTGTGTGTGTAAAGGGATAGGAAGCATAGCCCCTCCATTCCCCATGGTCTGTGTGGTGGTGTGCTTCTCACTGTCCAACATTTAATAGTATTAAACGAGGTTGGGTATACAGAGAACTCAGCCTGCTTAGCACTGTGGCAAACATACTTTTAAAAATTCTTTTAACCTTTTATTAAAGACACTAAAAAGGGGGAATAATTAAAGCATTTGAAATATTAAGTAATAAGTAAGACTTATTTTAACAATATACCTTGTTCCCTTTCTTTTTAACTGGAGAGAATTTTAGGAGGAGGAAAAGCCTTGTTTAATAGTCTTTTAGATGGCATCAACATTGGTAATAATTATCTTTGTGATTAAAGAAGTGGGTTGAGATGTGCTGCAGCTTCTTGTTGCTGCTGTTTTTGTTGAAGTCTGATCCCATTTCATCTTAGGTTGTGTTTGAGATTCAACTCAAGCCAGTAGAAGTCGGAATGTTATCTAGGTCCATTGATCTGGCATGTTCTGGTCAGTGCATTTCTCAAAATGACCCAGATTCCACATGATAATGGGGCTGGCAGTCATGAAGATGAAATTTGCTTCAATAGCCTCAGGCTGTTCATCTTTACCCTCCCCTCCAAAAAGTTCTCTCTAAGGGTGTGTCTAGACTACAGGGTTTTGTCGACAAAACTATACCTGCGTCCACACTACCGCTGAGATCTGTCGACATAACGTCGACCGAAC